CCCGACGGGACTTCGGGAGTGACTCCGAACACTCGGGCAGTGTCAGGGGGTGCCCTGCCACAGGTACTGAGATGCTCGGTCCTGTGGCTTCCTCCTCTGGGGAGCAGGAGAGCCCATGGCAGGGCTGTCTCTGAGGATGCCTCAGGGTGTGTGCGGCTCCTGCTCGCCAGCGGCTTGGTGTTGGCTTCCACCTCTGATAAAAACCCTGTCCCCGCATCCTCCCACAACCCACCAGTCAGTGCACAAATGCAGGTAGCAGCCGGCAGGAGGGAGGGCAGGGTGGTGGCAAGTGGCAGTGCCAAGTCCCCACTGGCCACTGCATGGGGCACAAAGGAGCAGACACCAGCCACTCACAGAGCACTGGTGTCCTAGCACGGGCCACGTGCATGGCCGCAACAGAGTCCTACAGTGAGTCGCTGAGCCACTGCACTTACAGGCCCAAGCCAGGGATCTGCTTTCCCCTTGGGACATCCTGGTGAGGAAGCCCAGGGCCCCTAAATGCTTTAAGCATATTTAGTACGTGGCAGGTGCTCAGTAGGCCTCTGAGGAATGCACAGAGAGTGCAGTGGGGGTGTTCTCCACCAAGGGCAAAAGGTGTGGAGGACGGGGCGGCTGTCCCACGTCACAGAGGGGCCTGGAGGACCGTGTGGCTGTCCCATGGGAGGGGCGTGGAGGACGGGGCAGCTGTCCTACGTCATGGTCCTACATCACTGAAGGGAGCCTGACCGTGGGGTCCCTCCTGTCCCAGGTGTGACGCTGGCTACATTGGGAAAAACTGTGAGTGCCAGACGCAGGGCCGGAGCAGCCAGGAGCTGGAGGGAAGTTGCCGGAAGGACAACAGCTCGCTGGTGTGCTCGGGGCTGGGGGACTGCATCTGTGGGCAGTGCCTGTGCCACACCAGCGACGTCCCTGGCAAGCAGATCTACGGGCAGTTCTGCGAGTGTGACACGGTCAGCTGTGAGCGCCACAATGGCCAGGTCTGCGGCGGCCCGGGTGAGCCTGTGTGTGGGTCCCCGCCGCGCAAAGGCCATCCCGCTGCACAGACGCGGCATGGGGGGTGCGTGCTAGACCATGCGGGGGTAGAACAGAACGGCGGGAGACAGACGCGGCGTGGGGGTGCGCGCTAGACCATGCGGGGGTAGAACAGAACGGCGGGAGACAGACGCGGCGTGGGGGGTGCGTGCTAGACCATGCGGGGGTAGAACAGAGTGGTGGGAGACAGACGCGGCGTGGGGGGTGCGTGCTAGACCATGCGGGGGTAGAACAGAACAGCGGGAGACAGACAGCACAAGTGTCCCGGCCACTGGGAGTCAGCAGGAACATGAACCACCCTGCACTCCGCCCTGCCGAAGTTCCTGTGTCCATGAGGGCAAGGTGTCCTTGTGGGGAGGGCCCACAGGAGGGACAGTCACAGTCTCACTGAGGTCCCACTCACAGTGGGCCTGGGGAGGCTCAGACTGGCCAGGAGGTGGCCGCATGGCTGGCAGGGGCAGGAAGGCCTGGCTGGTGGGCCGGTGCCTTTTGCTCAGGCACATCCCCCGGGCTGGAGGAGGCAGGCCGGTTGGAGGGAGCACCTGCTGGTGGGGTTTTGGGCGGGTCTCAGTCCCCATGCCAAGCAGGAGCTGAGCCATGCTGGCCCCCTGCCATCTTCCAGGGAGGGGGGTCTGCTTCTGCGGCCAGTGCCGCTGCCTCCCGGGCTTCGAGGGCTCAGCCTGCCAGTGCGAGAGGACCACCCAGGGCTGCCTGAACCAGAACCAGGTGGAGTGCAGCGGCCGCGGCCGGTGCCTTTGCAACGTGTGTGTGTGCGACGGAGACTACCAGCCACCTCTGTGCCAGGAGTGCCCCGTCTGCTCCTCACCCTGTGGCAAATACATGTGAGTGCAGGTGGAGGGCAGGGCAGGTGGGGATCCCCACTCCCAGGACACCCTCTCAGCAGCCGGGCTCACCCTGGGGCCTCCAGTGAGCACCTCTGCAGCCCAGGGTTCTCTGCGCCTGCAGCTTGACTGAGCGGCTCTCAGCGGCGCTGTGCCCCCATGCCCCTCTTCCCTCCCATGCACACCTGCCTCAGGCCCTGGGATCAGTCTTCCAGTTCACCCACTGCACCCTGCATCTGCCCCACTTGGACCCCTCCTTGGCCTAAGGGCACCTCAACCCCACCAGCCCCACCTGATGGACACATACCCAAGAGCAAGCCCCAATGCCTGAGCCCCTGCCCACCCTGGCTCCCACACTCACGCCCTGCTCCCCATCCCCTTCAGCTCCTGTGCCGAGTGCCTGAAGTTCAACAAGGGTCCCTTTGGGAAGAACTGCAGTGTGGCATGTTCAGGCCTGCAGCTTCGGGACAAGCCCGTGAAGGGCAAGGCCTGCAAGGAGAGGGACTCGGAGGGCTGCTGGGTGAGCTACATGCTGGAGCAGCAGGACGGGATGAACCGTTATCTCATCTACGTGGACGAGAGCCGAGGTGAGGCTGCCGGGGCATGGCGGGGACTGGGCCCAGGGCAGGGGTATGCGTGACCACAGAAGCCACGCTCAGGTGACCAGAGCTCTGGCCGTGGGGTCTTCAGAGGCAAGAGGGCTTCGGAAGAAGGGTCTCCCCTCCAGCGGTGTGGGCCCAGCAGGGTGGCTAAGCCAGGCAGAATGCCCTTGGTGGGATCACAGGGAGGCCAGAGGCCAGTCCACACCCTCACCAGTCTCCCCTTCCCCTCCTCACCTGACCCCACATCAGGCTGGGCAGTGGCAGGAGGCCTGTTCCTGGGGGAACCGCTGCTCCGCACCAGGAAGGCCCACCAGTGTGCCACACTGCTGGCCTGGGCCATCTCCCATTGGACGGCTCAAGGGGCAAGGCTTGGAGGTCCAGGTCCCTTGGGGTGGACTGAAGTCAGGCTGCCCTGTGAGGCTCCCCTGAGGGGACTGGGAGATGCCGGTGCTCAGCTCTCAGCCCTTGAGAGGCCCAGGGGCACCAGGCACCGCCATCCCCAACACTCTGCCCGTCACCCATTTGGCTCATCAGAACCAGCCCTGTCCCACGGTGACTTTGGCAATGCTGACTCCGTCTTCTTGGTCTCACATTCCACAGGCTCCTCAGAGGCAGAGGGGCTGGGGCTGGGGGCCGCTGGGGGACCCCGTCAGGTATGGCCAGTAGCCAGCCAGGACTCTTGCAGGACTGAGAGCTGGAAGATCCTTCCTCCCCAAGAGGGGACCCGGGGCAGGTGGCGGGGGGCTCTGAGCCTTTGAGTGACATGACTGGAGCTCACAACACATGTGTGGGCCTGGGGCTACAGACCCCCGCCTGCCAGGACAGGAACCCCTGCGGGCCACTGTGAGGGACATGGGTCATGTCTGGTTCGTGCAATCCTGGCCAAGTCACTTCACCTTTGAGGACAACAGGTCTCCGGAATAAAAGGCAGGATGGCAGGAGGGGGCACAGGGAGTGAGGGTGCGGGGTCAGGATGGGAGGAGTGGGAATAGGGAGTGAGGGTGTGGGGTCAGGATGGGAGGAGGGGGGATAGGGAGTGAGGGTGTGGGGTCAGGATGGGAGGAGGGGGGATGGGGAGTGAGGGTGTGGAGTCAGGATGGGAGGAGGGGGGATGGGGAGTGAGGGTGTGGGGTCAGGATGTCAGCAGGGGGCACGGGGAAGGAGGGTGTGGGTCCAGGCCAGGGACTACACTGAATGCTGGTGACTGTCCTGGTGTCAGCAGCCATAGGCCTAGCCCACTATGGCCCACAGAAGCCACGCTCAGGTGGCGGGCACAGCTGCCACGGGAACCAGGGCCTTGCCCTGCTCATCCCGCTGGCGGCGTCACCTCCTGAGCTCAGGTCTCTGGTCCTGTCCTTGGTGATCATAAATCAACGTTTTTGGGGGGGAGCGAACTCCAGCAGGAACCCTCAGCCCTGTCCTGAACTCTGCTGTAGGAGTGTGGGTCCCTCGCACCGTCTCCTACCCCCAGTATTTGCATTCTACCCTGGCCCTGCCTTCTCCGTGAGCAGGGGTGGTGGCAAGGGCCCTTAGGTTTCATTTGGAACCATGGGGCATGGCCTTGAATCTGGCTGGGGCCAGGCCAGGTCCTCACTGACCCTGGCCTTGGTGATGGACGGTGAGCCCAGGCCCCGGGAAGCTCTGTCGTCTGAGTGCTGGGTTGAGCGACGGTCTCGACCCATGGGCACACACGGCCCAGTGAGATAGGGCTGGACTGATGCCCGGGTGCGTGGCTTCTCCCCTAGAATGTGTTGCGGGCCCCAACATCGCCGCCATTGTAGGGGGCACTGTGGCGGGTATCGTGCTGATTGGTGTCCTCCTGCTGGTCATCTGGAAGGCTCTGACCCACCTGAGTGACCTCCGGGAGTACAGGCGCTTTGAGAAGGAGAAGCTCAAGTCCCAGTGGAACAACGTAAGTGGCTGTCTTTGGGGGTCCCACTCGGAGCGGTGCACGCATCCCATGCTCCCCGACCTGCTGCAGGAGGCCTCAGACACCTGCACTTGGCTGTACCCCAGCCTCCCGTGTAGCTTGTCCTCTGAGCGTGCGCCACCGTGGGTGAGCTTGGCCACCAGTGCTGGGACCCTGGGAGGGCTGCCCCACTTCTAGCTCTTCCTCAAAGCCATCTTCCATGCAGGGCATGTCCTCAGAGAGAAAGATTCTGCTCTGAAAACCTCCCACACTCACAGCTCCTGTGTGCATTTCCCACCAGGATAATCCGCTTTTTAAGAGCGCCACCACAACGGTCATGAACCCGAAGTTTGCTGAGAGTTAGGAGCACTTGGTGACAAAAAGACCGTCGGGACCCACCATGACTCCCCCATTATGTGGCCGAGACACGGCTTTCGACAGCTCTTGAGGATATCACCCATTAACCAGAAATCCACTGTTATTTTCTGCCCTCAAAATGGCAGCCATGGCCAGATGCTTACAAGGGAAAATCAGAAGGGACAGCTCCGACCTGCACAGTCTTTGCTTGGAGACTTGAGAAGGGAGGGCTTGAGGCTGGTGAGTTTAGGTGTGTGCTCCCTGTGCAAGTCAGGACAGCAGTCTAATTAAAGGTGGTGCCAATTTATTTACATTTAAACTTGTCAGGGTATAAAACGACATCCTATAAATTATATTGCTAATCAACCATATGTATGGAAAAAAAATAAAACTTCAATACAGGCTGTCCATAGAAACTGGGCACTGTGCCCGCTCTGTCCCCAACTGGCAAGGTGGCCAAGTGCAAGTGGGCGTGGTCCTGCCTGCTGCCCTCCACCACATAGGCACACCGGCTGGCTTCAGACCAGGGGGCAGGGTCTGCTTTCGCCTTTCCTGCCTTACCTGCTGGTCTGCACAGGGCCCTGCTCTGAGCCCCTGTCCCAAATCCTAGGTGCATTTCCAGAAATGTGGTGTGGTGTGGTGGCCCCACCAAAGAGGTGCCTTCGGTGGAGGCTGGCCAAGGCAGGAGCAAAGCAGGGAAGTGGGTGTCTGCCTGTCCTCCCCTGTAGCCATCTACACCTCGCCTCCAGCTGTCTACACCTCCCTTCCAGCCATTGACACCTTCCCTTTGGTTGTCCACACCTCCCCTCTGACTGTCCACACCTCCCCCCAAGCTGTGTCTATACCTCCCCTAGCTGTCTACACCTCCCTTTCAACTGAGTCTACACCTCTCCTCTGGCTCTCTCTTCCTCCCTTCCAGCTGTGTCTGCACCTCTCCCCGGCTGTCTGCAGAGTCCTCTCTGCCTCCACCTGGGGTACTCAGAGGAGAGGAAGCCAGTACTGCTTTACCACTTTAGGGGAAGTGTGGAAACTGGGCTGTGCCAAAGCCGCTCACAGCCCCAAAGCAGAATTCAGCAGTAAGCTCCACACGGATCTGCCCGAGAGCTCCAGACACAAGCTGGCTGCTGGCCATGGCTGCAGTTGGTGAATGTCCCGGTGTTCGCACAGAAAGGCTCTTGTCCTGGGAAACCCCTCAGTTTGTCTGGCCAAGCCGCAAAACTGGCCACATTGCCAGGGCCACTGCAAACCTGCAAATGGGCATGTGTGGAGGCATCTGCTTTAGGCCCCTACTTTACAATTCTAACTGTGGCCAGGCACGGTGGCTCACACTTGTAATCCCAGCACTTTGGGAGACCACGGTGGGAGGGTTGGTTGAGCTCAGCAATTCGAGATCAGCCTCAACCCTGAGTCACACAGCACTCCTGGTGACCCAGCCTCCAACAGTGAGACTCCATCTCTACTAAACATTCAAAAAAATTAGCAGTGTGGTGGCACGTGCCTGTAGTCCCAGCTACTTGGGAGGCTGAGGCAGGAGGATGGCTTAAGCCTAGGAGTTGGAGGTTGCAGTGAGCTGTGATTGCGCCACTGCACTCCATCCTGGGTGACAGCAAAAAAAACAGAGAAAAACAAAATACAAAAAAAACACAAACTTCCAACTGCGTGAGACCTTTTGCTGTACATGCCTGGGAGCCTTTACCTGGGCAGGTGGGAGGAGCTAGAAATGGCTGGATGCTCCATCACCGCCCACTGCCCAGCTCAATGTTCCTCCACCCAGCCTGTGCCTGGGGGCTTTAAATGCCCCTGCCCTGCTGGAGAAGAGCTGCTGTGGCTGGTGTTTAGTGCTCCTCGGGGAGGCTGCTGCGCAGCCAGGGTGGGGACCCGCTGGCCTCGAGCCTCAGTTCTCCAAGGCTGACCTGGGCACCAAGCCTCACGTGGGAGCTTGTCAGAGGTGCATTCTCGACCTGGTCCCAGACCTGCTAGTCAGTGGCACTCCAGGTGGTCCCAGCAATCTGGGCTTTGCAGGTCCACCAGGGATACCAGCGGACCCTGTAGTTTGACAACCACCAGACAAAGCTAGGAGATGGAGGTCAAGTTGTCGACATCAAGGTGTGGTCTTCAGGGGTGTGTGCAGGGTGGTGATGCCCCCTCAGGAAGGAGGGACTGGGAAGGGTGACCCAGGCAATCAGAAGCCCTGGCCTGTAGCTCGTCCGGCAGAGATCAGATACCAGCCTTGGTGAAACCCTCTTTACAGGGTTACGGAGAATTCCAAGGCAGGCTTTGGGAAGAACTGGAGTTAGGCACTGACTGGGGTGTAGTGGGCACTGCGCTCACCTTCCTGCAGCTGTTAACAAGAGTCACAGCACATGGACCACCTGCTTCCCATTCTTCCTAGAGGTAGAATCTCTGAGCCTGGACCTTTTAAGCCAAGAATTGCTTGAGGTGTTTCCTATACCCTGAATTCTGGCAGAACAGCTGATGCCAACTGGTCTGAAGGCCCCACAAAGGAACCGCCTCAGCTCAAGAATGTGGTTCTTCATCCCCCGTCCCGTGACTTCACTCCTCACTTATTCATAAATCAGCAGTCCCCACACTTCAGACCCCATCACCTGCACAGACCCCTGAAAAACACCATCCCCAAGACCCGAGGGAGGTGGGTTTGAGGTTTCCTCCCGTCTCCTCGCTTGGCTGCCCCACGAGTCTTAGGCTCTTTCTCTGCTGCATCTCCCGCTATTTCGGTATATTGGTTCATCACCGTGCAATGGGCGACAGGCACTGAGCCAGGGTCCTAGCACACACGTGCCCTGGCTCGAGACCCATCTCAGTGATTGCAGCAATGGCCTGGATAACCCCCAGATGTGCCTCTAGTAAGACAAACTGTCAGATGCCCTCAATCCATTTTGCTTTTCTGACATTTTCCTGCCAGTTTTCAGAAGGTCGTTTTGATGTTCCAGCCTTGTTCCAGGGAACTGAGGGGAGCTCCTGAGACACAGGGAGGAGCACAGACTCCAAGGGTGAGCCTCCAGTCCATGTCCAACTCTACTTCTTACTGGCTGCATGACCTGGAACAAGCTGTGTTCTGTCTTGTCAAAAGTACAGGTGGAGGGATCACCAAAGCCCGGCCCTGGGAGGATTTGGAGTGGCTGGCACAGAAAGTGCTTTGAGAATCATAACTGCTTGCAAGGGATGGGCAACCAGAACCGTCTGTGTCTTGGTCAAGGACAAATCCGTGACCACAAGAGACCCCATGTGGCACAGAGCAGCTCTGAAACCAGGAAGCTAACAACTGCGTACAATCGCACAGGAGTCATCCCACATACCAGGGAGGCAGGTTCTGCATCACTGCTTAGTCCAGTCATGGGAAGTGGGACCTGGCCTGTGGCCCAGCCCACCCTCCCTCCACCCCAGAACCCTGCTGACCCCTGCCTGTCTAAGGGCTCCCACAGACCTAGGCTCCCCATTGTCTACCCCTTCCAAAGTGAGGCCAAGCTCTGGGACCTTCAGGTGCTCTCCTTGTTCTCCCCAATGTTAATCATCTGGTGGTTTAATGTGTTACCCGAAGCTTCACTCTTTTTATGCAGCCTTTCTGGAAGTAACTCTTTTACCTACTAAGGAATGTACTCATAACGACCAGAAAAAAAAAAAAAAAATCCAACAGCACAAATAATCACCAAATAAAAACTCTGGTGGAAATCCCCAGCAGGTGACTCCAACATGCACAATGAGGTGGGGGCCCTGGAATTTCCCAAGGAGGGCTCTGGCTCCAGCCCACCGTGGCTGTCTGTGCCTGTGGACAACCCTTTCCATAGCTTTGGGGCTCAGCTGTCATTTGTCCTAAGCTGATGCCATTGTGATTGTATCACAATGATATCAGTTTAATTCCATAACCATCTTTCTTCATGGAAAGACATATGCACTTTTAACTCCAGACTGCTCTAAGTAACCATTCTGTTTCTCTAAAAAGTCATTAGAGTTGTACTTCCCATATAATGTGCCATTTGGGTCATTCCTCTGAGCTTGAAGGTCTTTGACAATTGAATATGTATCTTTGAATTTCAGACGTGTTAAATTACACAATGCCCCCATTTCCTCTTTTTAAATCTTGGCTTCTATGTGGTTAAAACAGGAACTTGGATTATACCAAGTATTTTTTGAACTTCTGCATTCTTAAATTGTCCCAAAACTTGGCTATATTTTAAAATTCCATATCAATGGCATTGTTTACAATGTGGTAGTATTCACTGAGTTTTGGTTAATGTTTACAAACGCCTAATGTCCTTCAAATACTATTAAATTAGCATTGTACGGTTGTACTGTTAGGATAAAAAAAAGGTTGTTTTAGGGGCACAGTTCTAAACTAGACTTGTATTGATTCTGTTCCTGCAAACAGATTTTTTTTTTTTTTGAGGCGGAGTTTTGCTCTTGTTGCCCAGGCTGGAATGCAATGGCATCATCTCAGCTCACCACAACCTCCACCTCCTGGGTTCAAGCAATTCTCCTGCCTCAGCCTCTCGAGTAGCCGGGATTACAGTCATGTACCACCATACCCAGCTAATTTTGTATTTTTAGTAGAGATGGGGTTTTACCATGTTGGTCAGGCTGGTCTTGAACTCCCAACCTCAGGTGATCTGGCTGCCTCACCCCCCCAAAGTGCTGGGATTATAGAGGTGAGCCACTGCACCAAGCCTTTTTTTATTTTTATTTTTTGAGATATAATCTCACTCTGTGGCCCAGGCTGGAGTGCAATGGTATGATCTCAACTCACTGCATCCTCTGCCTTGTGGGTTCAAGAGATTCTCCTGCCTCAGCCTCCCAAGTAGCTGAGACTACAGGTGTGTGCCACCACACCTGGCTAATTTTTGGATTTTTAGTAGAGACAGGGTTTCACCATGTTGGCCATGCTGGTCTCCTGACCTCAAGCGATCTGCCCACCTTGGCCTCCCAGTGTTTTTACAGGCATGAGCCACCGTGCCCAGCCTGCAAATAGATTTTTAAACATCTTTTTATACAATAGAAAATCCCAATGAAGATATAAAGTACTTAAACTGGAAGAAGTGGCTCAGAGATGCCAAGGGCCCTTTTCAACCACTTAATCTCTTTATGCTGAGCCAGATCAAACAGGACAAACACAAAAAGTGACTGCACTTTCTAGAATAAGTTAATAGTTTTTGTCACTAAGTTTGCCAAGATCCAGACAAGCTATTTACCCAGTTGTTTAGAGGAGGTTTTGGCTCTGAAATGTTGGTTTATGTCGGTTTTCATGTCAGCCATGAATTTAGTAATGTTATTTGATTTATCTGGGATATAGATACAGCATTTAGTTTTATGACAGCCACAGGTTTCCCCTGGGCTTCAGTGAGTATGTCTAAAGCCATATGGTTTTACAATACAGATTTTCTCAAGTTAGTTTATTATTTAATAACAAGATATCCATCTTGCTATGACTTAAGGCCTTTTGTATATAACTGGTTGGGGCCTCTACATGTCAAGTAACACCTTCAATACCTAGTTATGGCAGAAAGTTGGAAACTAAATGTTAGAGACACAATGCTTGTTCCTAGGTATTGCAAGGAAAAAATTAGCATTCAGACAAAAAGTTTTCTCAGCAAGGCAATTTTACTTTCTGCAAAGGGTACTCCTTGTCAGCCATCTTGCCATGAGACTACCATAACAAAAGAAAGGCAAGGATACTTATTCTTTATGCATTGGGTCCTTACTGCTGTGTTGGATCTCCATTGGTTGGAGCTGAACTTCACAGTCTAAACTAAAATCTGATTGGCTAACAACTTAAAACTTACCTGAATAGGTAAAAGCAATGGAGAACAAAAGGCAAAAAGGAAGTCCAAATAAGGAAGGAGCATAGGCTGTGAGCTGGGACATGCCTGTGAGTCTATTTTGATCTTTGTGTTTTGGGACCCCCTAAAGCATCTCCACCACTTTCATGTATTAGACAAATAATAAAATTGGAAGGTTATAATTTGGATGCCCCAAAGGCAGAGAATTAGCAAGGTCACATTTGATCATTTTGAATGTTGGTGGATTTTCTTCTGCCGACTCTAAAGGGCCTGGCATGTCCTGTTTTTAGAGAGCATATAATGGCTGAGCTTTAAAGAAAAGTTTGGGATCCAATTTCTATAATATCCTGACAGTCCCCCAAACTCTTTTGTTTCTTGGTTGTTGGTGGTGGAAAGCTAAAATTCCTTTTAATCTAGATTAATAGAAAGTCCTTCTTTAGATATTAAGTGGCCCAAATACTTTACTGGTTTTTTATAAAACTGAAGTGTTTCTTTAGAAATTTAATGTCCCCTTAGGGCTATTGTAATGAATATATCCCATCTTCTATGTGGGAAGTAGAAAAGTTCCTCTTCAAAGTTTCCTTTCTTGTTAAATAATAATAATAATAAATGTTAGAAATAAGTCTCTTTATAGCCGCAGCTCACAAGTGGCAATGCCCTTTGAAGAAAGACTTCTTCAAAGCTTTCTTGCCTTTTACTAGTGACTCTTTGTTAAGCACTATCCTATCTAGCTGTTAGATATAATGGAGTAAGTACATTCTATGTCCTTGTGCGTTAACCAACGTATTTGTGCCAGACATGCTCGCAGGCACGTAGTACATTCTATGTCCTTGTACTTTAACCAGAATATTTATGTTACTAGATTTCTAAGTCCTTTCACAGGCAACTTCCTGTCCCTTCCTTATTTGGACTTCCTTTTTGTTTTCCATTGCTTTTACCTATTCAAGAAAGTTTTAAGCATTAGCCAGTCGGGTTCAGTTGTAGATTATGAGGTCTGGCTCTAGCCAATGGAGGTCAGACACAGCAGTAAAGACGACCCCAAATGCATAAAAGACAAATATGTCTGCATTTCCTTTGTTTGTTGTACTCCCATGGCAATATGGCTAACAGGAGTACCTTTCTGCAGAAAGTAAAATTACCTTGCTGAGAGATCCTTTGTCTTAGTGCTGATTTTTCTCTGTGGCACCATGCATCTGTTTCCAACATTCTATAAAAGCTTGCTTATCTTCTGAGCAAAGGAGTAAACTGTCCATGTATTGTATTAAAAATTTTTTTAAAGACAAGTCAATATCTAAGAGAACTGTTTTTGCCTAAGTTGGGCTCTCAGTGTAGCCCTGGGCATGGCTGTCTGTGTATATTGTCTGCCTTCCCAAGTAAAGGTAAAGGGAAGTCAACACTTTCATCCACAGGAACTCCTAAAAGACATGCTACAGAAGTCCATTATGGTAAAGGACTTTGATTGGGTAGCCAAGGGGATTCTTCCAGTATCAGTGGAAGACTCGGACCATATTTGATCAAGTATTGCCTTTAGTAGGTTTTGTAATTCTTCAATATTCAATAATTTAATGTCTTCTAGGGCAATATGGATTGCAATTGAGTTAGATTCTGAAACATTCTTTATGTCTAGTAACTCAGCTTTCTCAGCTAATTCTAAATACAATTTCCCCCTTTGGGAGAAAGAAACGTGGTTATTATAATTCTAAGAAGTCTCTTTTTATAAGATGGATGGCAGCTGATAGAACCAGAAGGAAAATGTGAGTCCTCCGTAAAGGACTGAGTTTAAAAGCTATAGGCTGAGATTTATGTGCCATTACAGGAGGATTAGTGACACCTACCCTTTGAATTTTTTTTTCTTTACTCCAGGGAATGGAACCTCCTAACAAGGTGGGATTTAGTACAGACAGCACAGCTCCTGTATCAGCAGGCCCTTGTGTCAGCAACAAGAACTGTGTTAACTCTCTTTTTAAAGTAATTTTTATTTTTCCCAAAGTAGAGCCAGGGTCACACACTCAGGTATTTGAATTCTCTGGAAAAACAAGCAGGGTCCTGGTGAGCATTAGGAAATTCCTTGATTATATTTGTAAGTTCTACCTTTGATCATAACCGATGAAGCAGGGTACCTGGTTGGCCCCTGTCAGACACTGGCTGTTTGAGAAATGGCCCCAAAACAGGAGGAGGAGGAAGAGGAAGAAAGGTGGGATCTGAGCCAGGTAGTTCAGACAACAAAGGATAAAGAGAAGGAGGAGCTGAGGGAGGAGGGGGAGAAATTTCAGCAGTCTTTTTCAATTCAGAAATTATTTTAGATAAATTTTTTTTGTTTTTCTCTCGTAAAGAAATACCTTTATTAGAACTTCTTTTGGATGCTTCCAAATACCATTTAAAAAACAAAAACAACTCTCCCCAAAACTGCTTTATCCTCGAGCAAGTGTTTTCCAATTGGGCAAACAAGTAAATTAGCTTGGTATTTCAAGGGACCCGGTTTTGGTCACTGAAATGTTTTTTCACAAGTTATGTGACACAATTTTTCTAAATAATGACAAGAGGTGGCGCCATAAGCACCGCACAGGAATCCAGCTGGAGTTTCCAAAGGTGGGCCCTTCCTGGAGAAAGACTTGGTTCTGGATGGACCATTGATTATGAGTTCTCTTAAGTGACAAAAGACTATAAGGGAAATTCTGGTTACTCAAGAAGAAAGTTTAGACATGTCAATTGAACTCAGCTCCAGAACCTGGCCAATTTTAAAGATGACACGTTTTGCTTAAGCCACGATTCGCTGCTTCTTTTCAAAGAGAAACTGCTTTCCCCTTGTCCAAATTTGAAGGAGAAAAAAGGTTGCGAACTTTAGCAAGACACACGAAACCTTAACCCGGAAAGAAAGTGAAACCACGCACCTGCAAACAGCTGTTTGGAGAAATAACAAATGAAACTCCTGCCTTAAAACCAAGCTTCAACGCCAGCCCCACGGCTGTGGACCTGGGTAGGCAGAACAGAGGCTGAACCTCAGCCCTGGGAGACTGCCAGAGACGCCGACGGGTTCCCAGGAGGTCGGGTGAGCCAAGGCCGCTCCGTGGGTGCCAGCGCTCCGGGTGCCAGAGAAGTGGCACAGATCCCAGGAGGCTGGCTTTGGGCCCATCTGCAGGCGCCAAAATACCAACCTCAAATTACCAAAGGGTCAATCTAACTCAGGGGGGACTGATTCAGTCAGTTGGAGGCTGACCCACCCAGAAACACCAACTCCAGAGGACTGGAGTCCGCCCTCGGAAGCAGGGAGGTAAGGAGGCCCCCAGGCAGGCAGAGGCCGAGGGGCTTTTAGCAGGACCGCGGTGTCCTTCCCACGAGGCGGGCGCACAGTCACAGCCACAGCGTCTGACTGATGATGGGCGGTGCATGATTTGGGGAGGGTCCAATTAACACGTCAGAGGGTACGGCGGTCACGGTTTCCCGTCTCCGGTCTAAGCAGAGCAGGACAAAGGAGAAGCGAATCCACGAGGGTCATGAACTAGGAAGGCAGGAGTTTCTGTCTCCGGCCGCGGCGAGGCCCCGAACTAGAAAGCGGCTGCGGGCGAGGGAGCGGCCGGCCCCGGCTCTCGCGGGGCTGAAAGCGCGCAGACTGTGCTCAGGTTCAACCTGTAAATGTATTTTTGCCAT